CGCCTGAAGATGACTGCTTATAGTTGAAACATGTCGCAAACCATCATTTACTTTATTAAATCTAAGGGGATCGGTTTTGTGCTTGAATTACCATGAACTACACACTACCCCATTTTGGGAACAACCATGGACATCATCCCTCAAAATTTCTTTGTGATACTAACAACAGAATAACTTTTTTCCTCGCGAACTAATTAATTAACACAACTATTTTCCTTAATTTAAGTGTTTCCCTTAAATTTATGTTTTTATACAAAAAAGTGTATTCTTTTAGAATATGTAATGAAAAGTAGTAGGTGTCATTAAAAAATAAGCTCCCCTTCACCATGCAGAAGTACGCCACTGACCACACATTTAAATTGCAAATATAAAGTTTAAAGATATTCCATATTCCCTAGCCCGCTGCTACGTCCTCCCGCAAAACGTTCAGCCCCATGAACTCTCATGTTAATGTTTCTAATCGATCATTGGGCATACCTTTCCCCATCGAGTGACCTCAAAGAAAAAAAATCAATGTTCTTTTCCCTACAAATAGGATTTCGTATACTCCATCTCCCTTTTTCTAAGAAAATTTCTTGAGTTTACCTAATCTGTAGAAAGGTGTTTAGCAAACTTGCTCGAAGGTTTTCAAAAAAATGCTATAAGACTTTTAACATTTGTTGAACAATTTCTATGAACATTTCCAAGAATTCCAAAAAAAAATGAACTTTCTACCATGAAAAACTTCGAAAATGTCTCGTGTTAATTTTTTATGAAGCACCATCTAAAATCCGTCGTACCCCTACGTCGTACTACGTTTTCTCTCAAAACGTTCAGCCCTAAGGATTTTCGTGACAATTTTTCATGATGGTCTATCGAAAAATTTTAAACCGGCGGCGGCGGGTCTGGGGGTAGGATCCCTGAAACTATCATAACATTTTCGTATAATTGGTGTACCTGGGGGTATTCCGGTGCTACGTCCTCGTGATAATGTTTTTAACGGACCATTGAACCTTTCTTTCCTCCGAAAAAAGATTCAATGTTCTTTTCCCTACAACTAGGGTTTCACTTACTCCATATCTTATTTCTAAGAAAGTTTCTTGAATTTACCTCATTTTTTGCCATGAAATATTTCAAAAAATGTTTAAAAAAAATGGTAATGTTTCTCAAAGCCCAAAAAAGTTCCTCAGACGTTTTCAAAAATAATGTCTACGGTTCCGGAAAAATTTTTAAAAATATCTAGCAAGACTGCAAAAGGCCTTGCTATAATCTCTTAGAAAATGTTCAGGAATCACGTGATAATTTTTTACAAGAGACCATCTAATCCTTTTTTCCATTAAATTAAATTAAATAAAGATAGAATCTTCCTTTTCTTATATCGTCACATCATGCTATCAGTGTACTACGTGTGTGGGGCGCTTAATCTATATCCTATAGCCCCCCCCCCCTCTAACCCTCTAAAAACGCTCGGCCGACTCTCGTGATACATTTTCATAAATGACCATCGAATCTTCTTTTTATGCCGCGTATTTCATACTCCACAACCTTCTGGTTTTACGTTCGACAGTCCCCTTTATGGTGTACGTGCGAAGTGCACTCGGGGAAAAATATTGATTCGGGGGGTTTGAGGAATATAGGAAATTTTACTTATCTCACGTTAGAACGGTGAATTAAAAAAAAACGAAACTTTGTTTGATTTTAAACAAATTCTACGGGGCTAGATTGTGTTGAAGCGAAGAAAGAAGCCATCAGCCATCGTAAGGTATATTCAACTATTCTCTATCCAAGATTTTGAAGATAAAGAGATAAAGAATACACAAGTGAAGACTCTTGATCGTCAAGTTTAAGGACAAACTAATCATGGTGTAATCGAACGGATCTTTTTGGGAGGAAGAAAGAGATGAATTTATATTCAAGCTCAACTTTCACAAGAAAAAAAGGCATCTTGAACGGAATGCGCTTACGGACTAAAAGAGAAGCTATACTGGGTATAATGATTTGAGAAGCCCAGTAATATGATCTTAAGAAAATTACGGGGACACTTTGTAACAAGGTTTCTACGAAGGGCCTTCAGATATCTCTAAGCTGATTCCTAGACAGACGGCCATTAAAGAACTATTGCTAAAAGTATCTCCAAAGACATTAGTTGTAGTCCGGATAATAAACAGCATACTTTTCTACGGCGGTTTCTAAGATTATTTTTTAAGACCAGAATGTTTCATATATTCTTAAGAAAATAAGCCAAACATTGTTTTCACATAAGATCATATATACTTCCTGCAAGGGTACGACAGATCACATATGAGTGATAATTCCGTGAAATGTTTGGAAAACCTTAGCCAGTCGTTCATAACGTTACAGTTGTAGAGGCTGGAGAACCCTTAAGGGCCATGAAGTCGGCACTCTGGTGCTACAGTAGGAAACATACTGGGCCCACTGCCCTTTCGTTCCTCTTAAATTTGCAGAAAAAACTTTTCAGCAGTTTTTCCCCATTTTCCACGCACAATTTTACGCTCGAAACTTTTGCGAGGAAACTTTAAACGTATACACGTAACAAATCGATTGCCTTCAGTTCCGCTATAATCACAGATACTCGCGTGTATAAAGTACCAATTGGCTACTATAATTACTATTAAAACTATTGTTTATAGGATGACGCCACTAACGCCATTATTTTAATTTAAAAGTTTTTATCATAATTGGAGTTTAGTTTAACGTAACATTTCGGCATTGAAATTGCAATTACTATTTCATGATCATTGCGTCTACAAATTGAAAATGTCGTACGCCCATTGTCGTAATTGAATTTTTGCGGAATTATTTCTTGCTGTTTGTTACAGATTAACTGGAGCGAGGCTTTTGTTTGAACTTCTGAAGGAATTCTGATTTGCCCTTTTAATGTACCCAGTGTTTTACACGAAAGCGAAAGCCCTCTGGTACCTATACCATCTCCTAAAGGGTGAACACCACCACAAAGCTTATTTTAATGATTACTCTATTTAAATTACCTCTCCCAATCGAACAACGTAATACCCGTAGGAAAGATAATTTTTCAGGTGAAGTAGACACTCCTAAAGGTCACTAAAGGACGAAGTAATCATTTTTTTCGGAATTCGGCAAGGTTCGGTTTACAAAAAAATGTAGCTATAGTAAAATTGGTCAACTTTCCAAACAGCTAATGTCCCTTTACCCTTTCAAAAACATTAGAGGATTGGGCAGTTCAAGAATCTATCAGACACCTAAAAGAGATACACATCCCAACCAAAATAGAACACATTAGACATAAAGGATGTCAAACTGTCAAATATTTTTTAAAATTATATTATATGAGTTTTTACTGCCGTATTAGAACTTTTTTTCAAATAGTAACCCACATTCTTTTTAAGGAGCTATGTTTTTGAGTGTTTGCCCATTCAAATACGACACAAAGAATTATTAGTTTAATGAAGGCTAAATTTCGTTTTTGACCGAGTATTAAATAGCGGGTTATATACGATACTTTTGAAGCAAGAATTTTCGCCTAGGGATGATTTATTAAGGTTTAACTGTGCCTGGAAAAGTTAGAAAAATTGGGGTGTAGCGGTTATTTCTTTTGCGAGTTGCGGTAAAATCTGCGACTACCAATTTCGTAATCTTATATTTGAATGTCACTTCATTAATTTACATACAGGGTGGCCCATGTATCTTGAGACAGTCAATTCTTGCAGAAACTAGCGGTGATATCAAAAAATGAGTTATATAAAATATTCTTCATATGGATGCTATGCAGATTTTCACATAAATGTCCCTTAAGGGTCAAGTGTAGGGTAAACTAATATTATTATTCTACATCGAAAAATAATATAACGTTGGAAACGTTTTTTTCCTACACTGACTATTTTTTGTAGACTACGTGGGGTACACTCCCCGGAATAAGATACCCAACCATCAGTGTACTTTTGCCCTCCTCAAAATGTCATTTTGGATCCGCCCCTGGTCCGAAGACCAGCTCAGCGAGGACAGAAACTTCAAGTAAAGGGCACATCCTGGGTTGCTCCCAATGCTCAGTAAGCCTAGGGACCGCTTTCGGCTTTTAGGAGTTTTAAGCAAAAGTGTCAGAAAAGTTACCGCAGGGCCAAGCGTTCATAGCTTTTTGTTCCTTCGATGTCGGCTCTTCCTATCATTGGCCCAATTTTCATTCGATTTTTTTTAATTTACGCAAAATTTAAACTAAATTTGATATAACGTGACTGTCACACAAAAAAAAGTTAATTTAATTTAATTTATTTGATGAACTCCGGGCGTCACCAGAAGAAACATTCCAAAATGTACAAAGGCGGTCCTTTATAATTTTAAATTATCTAAAAAGAATTCGTATGTGCGTCAGAAAAAAGATCTACACTTTAAACAGCATAACTAGATAACATATACAGCGTGTTGCATTTAAAAATAGCAACTTTGGGTCAAATCTCAGAAACGATGGTTCAAAAATTTTTTTGACTACATCACTGGATTCTACGTAAAAATATCTAAAATAAATAGTGTTTACCTTTTTCTATCCCACATGGGTAGCAGAATATAAGGTCTCAAAAGTCATACTTTTCGTTTTCACCCTGTACCTTTAAAACAAACGTGGATAGATTGATTCTGTTCGTCATATTAAAAGTTTCAGAATAAAGTGGCACAGGGGGTCGACAAAACCGCAACTCTCTGTCTTTAAAAGCAGCTGAAATACACGGCAGTCTCAATTAGAATAGGACACACGGTATAAATGGTATAGTATGTTCAAGCTTAAATAAATTCAATACCAAGTACGTAATATTGACACACAAAACGAAACATACAGTTTTTGAATTCTTCATCTCCTTTCTAGATTTGAATCAGAAGTAAAGAACCAAGGGTGGAAATTGACAACTCCCATTTTGATATCCTTGTGTTCACCAGAAACTCCCTCCAGAAATCTTGAGTGACCCTCGGTGGGTGCTGGTTAGACTTATCCCCTGATAGTCCATGGTTTTTGCTTACAATGCTTATTGTTTTAGGGCAGGGGCGCGTAAACCAATTAGGCGGAGTATTCATCAACGGGCGACCTCTTCCAAACCACATCCGATTGAGGATAGTCGAACTGGCCGCTTCCGGCGTACGTCCCTGCGTGATATCGCGGCAGCTTCGCGTGTCCCACGGGTGCGTTTCCAAAATTCTGAATCGCTACCAGGAAACGGGCAGCATACGTCCCGGCGTGATCGGCGGCTCGAAGCCGAGAGTGGCGACCGTCGAAGTCGAGACCAGGATAGAGCAATTGAAACGCGAAAATCCCGGCATATTTTCGTGGGAAATTCGCGATAAACTCATAAAGGTTGGTAATTTCAGGCGAGAATTAGAAATTGACACGCTTCTTTTTCAGGAAGGTATTTGTGATAAAAACAACGCGCCTTCTGTAAGCTCAATCAGCCGACTTCTTCGCGGTGGTCGGAAGGATGAGGTCGATCGAAAGAACCACTCCATCGACGGAATATTAGGTAATGTAGCCCCTTTTTTTCTCGACAAACAGAAGCGTGAGAATTTGAGAAACGTGATTCCGAAACCATTCTAAATTGTAACGTTATACCTGCGGCGGTGGCGATAAAAACGTTTAACACCTGTATAGTGGCTATAAAAATCAATATAAATTTAAAAATTAATTTTAGTATAATTTTCAGATAATAACGGAGGTCGGGTCTGTTATTTCATATAACGCGTTAATGAGCTTATCCACCTCTTCCCGAAAATCGGCCCGAAATACGCAAACGTGTTAATTGAATTATGAAAGCGTCCGTAGAGTTTTGATCAAAAGACACGTGGTTGATTTTTTGGACCTCACAAGTCGAGAGAATGACGCAACAGAAATTTCGCCTTCATTGAAGAGGTTTACATAATTATACCTCATTTGATTATTACTTTCCTATTCAGGATGATGATCGATTTTTCGTGATTGATTTTTGGGGTGTACCCCAAGCTCTGTTTGTGCAAGTCCTTTATGAAGCGAGTAATTGAGCCCGCAGGGGCGCAGTGGTGCATTCGTACACCGTGGCCAAGTGAAATAAATCTGAAATGTCCCATATTATTGGCTGAAAAACGCTTATGGTGCGCCCGACAAAGGTATTGCAAAATTTAACGGCAATACGCCAATTTACTCAAACGCAAATTGCAGCTGCAGTTACATGTTCGGTTGCAACTTACTGTGAAAATTACCGATAAATTACTTATTGATTTTTTTTATTAATTAAATAAGATTAATTGATTACTCGCCAACGCGTATCGTGCTCGCTATCGACAAAGTTAATAGCGGTCGAAGTGCTCGATTGAAAATTTAAAAAGTTTTTCATATTTAAAAGCACAGAAACAGTAATTTCTAATTCATCTTGAATTTTTAAGAAATGTTAGCGGATGTTAACTCATCTCAGAAGCTAATATCAGGTTGGGGAACCGATTCGGTCAAAAATAGCGAATTTTCTGAATTTCTTAATTTAAAGTTTCTCAGTTCCTTCTTGGAATATGGCGTTAAAAATCATTCAAAATGTTTCGATAGTCCTTCAGTACTTTTAATAAAAATTTTAAAGAACCTTTTATCCCCTTGCATTGCAAGGGTATCTAAGTGAATTTAATGATTTTAAAAGCCCAAGAGACGGATAGGTTATTAGGCGCTCCTAAACGCTTCCCAAGGCCTTTAAAATCTTTCAGTAATCACATGATCCCCACAGAAAGCCTTTCCAAAATATGAAAGTTTGAGAAATTTAACAACGCCTCAAAGACATGGATATATAAAGAAATCTTTACGTACTTAAAACTATGCTTAGCAATCTTGACTTGAGACTTCGAAAATTTAGCCGCAAAGTATTAAGGTTTTTAGAGGTTTCTAAGGATTTGCAAGTATAGCCGACGATCTCGAGGAATTTTCAAATATTCCCGAGGGTTTGGGAAACAGAGGATCTCTCTTTTCACAAGAATAATTCCATCGGTTGACACCTCACATAGAAAACATGCAATTTTCATTTTTTTCTAACTGAAAAAAGCACAAAGCTTAACGTTAATTCAAAGTTATTTGAAAAGGGGGATATCGAGTGCATTTTTGTAGGATTGGGGTAAAAAACAACTCAACTATATAATGACGGTTTCCTAAAGGGATGTGGGATCCTCTAAAACAATTTCTTATTATTCCAACACCTCGATTGTTGCGAAGATGTCTTTTGCTGATATTCTCCACTTGTGGGGTGCTTCTTCTCTGTCCATGTGCCCTGAGCAGTTTTCAGGGTAGTTTATATACTCGGGGCATCACACTTTAAGAAAGCCAAATTGGTACTAGCCTATCAATGTCCCAACTTTAAACCTTTAAAAAAATTACAGTCAATATTTTAGGTATACAGGGTGTCGTTTTTCGCGGTTCAGCATCTCGATTTTACCCGATATTAATTAAATTGTGACAAGGTGGTAACATTTGATTTTTTTCTAATTATTTATATTACAATAAAACTAGGCTAGACAACTCCCTTCTAAGGAGAACGTAAATACGGTATTCTAAGCGAGGTTGTGGAAATGACATTCTATTTAATATTTCTGGCATTTTGCCTATTCACATAAAATTTTAAAAAAACGATTTGAGGATAAGGAGGGTAACAAAATAAGTTTAATGCTGTTCTGTAGTCAATATGGCCACTAAATATATTTCACTAGAATAGGGTTAATAATGACTATAATTTTTACTTATGTGGACAGTTTTTTTTTTGTTAAATGAAATGAATTGTTAGATAAGTTTAAATGATACAAAGGAACCCAGCTCTCACAGAGTTAACCCAAAAGTGCTTTCATTTTATGATATTCTCATTAAAATGAAGAGGTTTGTCTCAAATGACCAACATCTCTAAATCTCTAATTCAAATTCGGTTTCAAGTTTGAAGTACTAAAACACTGGAATTTTGAAACATTGGAAAAAGAGATCGACATTTTTAGGTGAGGACGATTGGCAATTGTAGAAATTCAAAAATCGCGGAATATTAAAATTGAAATTTTCACAATTTTGTTTATTCTTGAAATTAAATAAATTCATTTTATGATGTGGATATACCGAAAGTTCGGGGTATCTAGAGGTCTCGGGGGATTGGTGTATTAAGAGAGCGGTTCGTAAATCAATTTTTTCTGGGCAAAGATCAAACCCAAATTATTGATCGCTTTTTCATGGTAAAATTTTCTGAAAATCAACTGAATGAAAAGCAATTTCGACTTGGCACCACAGATTAAAATAGTCTGTGATTATACTTTAATGAAAACCATAGTGAATCCTTAAAGGAGAAGCAAACAATTCATGAAATGTATCCAATCAGCCTCAGTTTAGTTAAACGTAAAATAGAAAGATTGGAAAAAATCAAGATTGGTTTTTATCTCGGGTTTTATTCATCTTTTTATAAAAACCATGGGTTTTAAGAGATATTCCAATACGGATGTTAGTGTTTTTCATGAGCTGTCAAATTCACTGAAGAATAGCAAAAATCTTATTTAATTATGGTTCCCAGATCGTATTAAGAGGTTTATCATTTAAAATTTGTTTGAGAATAAGAAACAAACTTGACCGAAATAAGGACAAGTTAAATAGTATATTAAGATACAAGTGTATAATCAAGTCTTTAAAGCACGCGCAACGAGTTTAAGGGCACGACGCAAAGCGGAGTGCCTTTAACGTTGCAAGTGCTTTAAAGACCAATTATACACGTGTATCTTATAGTATTTTTTATTATACCTGCAGTATGATTTAAAAATAGGAAATACAATGAAGTCATATTGACGTTATATTCGAATACATGTCTAATTAAGTGGGCTGGGTGTTCGTAATTTCACGATTGCCATGGAAATGTCACTTGACGTTTACTTATAAAAATCATCGTCTTTGTGAATTATAGTATTTTCCGTTGAAAAAGATAATACACCGTCCATTAAATCGATTGTTGTAAAATCTAAACAAACGTTGGTAGGTGTAAAATTCAACTCCAGTAAAGCCTATTATAAAGAATATGAAAAGTTGTTTCCATGGATGAATAGGAAGTTACTTACGAATACAGTCTTAAATGCATCCATAATGCTGGCATATATGAAGGAAATGTCAAAGGTATTTAAATCTTCTATATTTTGGTGCATTCATTCAAAATTTTAAAGCAATGCTGCGATTAAAAAGTGGAACAGATTTGGAAGCATACCCTAAATTACGCGCGTTTGTGAAAGCTTCAACCAAAGGATAGGTACAAAAGCCAAATAAATGTTCTGCATTTACAGAAAGCGAGCTAAGAGGATTTTTTATTTCATTCAGATGACAGTTTCAAAAGTCATACTTGAAGTATCGTTACTTAGCAACTTTAAAGCACGTGTGTTTTAAAGGCCCTTTTTCGCACGCATATGAGTGTTTAAAACGGAGATTGTGATTCAGGTATAATAAAAAAGTAATTGTAAACGATTTCCACAAAGCGCATTTCCACATTAACAATGGGCTTACAGTTTACTTTTATAAGAAACACAAATCACCTCAAAATAAGACATATACATATATAAATTTTTGGATATGCATTTTCAATTTACTCATTAAATAATAAATAATAATAATAATAATAAGAGTGCCTTCCTCTGAAATTTCAGAAGAATTGGTTCACAAATAAGCAATGTAGGCCTGTGGATGCATAATAATTTTATTGTGTCTTTTAGTGTGCGTATCCGCAGTATATTTTTTTGGTGTACGTTTAATTTATATTTTTAGGAACCACTTTCCTTTAAAATTTCAGAAAAATCTGCGCATAAAAAAAGTTGGGTATGTGCAATCTATTTTTTTCAAAAAGTTGCATTATGATAAATAATGACCCAAACGGTTAACCGTGGTTTCCAATAGAGCGAATTATATATTTCTCTATCAATGCATTTCACCGCTTCCCGAATCAAACTTTGGGTTTATTTGATCCAAAATTATTGCAAAAATAGAGAAAGTTTTATGTTTAAGTTTTGCCCAACCAAAAATAAAAATGCAACAAACGTATAAAATTTCTAAGCACAATAAACGGCAAAAGTGTAAAATTATGAGAAGCAAAAATATAGGTTTTTTTTCTATAACTGTCTGTCTTGTAAGAGACACAGAAAGAATTGCTTCCTTGGTGAAAGCCTCGACACCATAACGATCCAAATACAAAGGAGTAGCTCTTAAGATACGCGACACAGTCATAGAGACCGGACGGTCAGAAGGGCGAACGAACCCACAGACGGGCACACAAAGTGCACATTTTTTATTTTTGTGGAAATGCGCTATGACATAGCTTCTGAATACACGCAATCCACTTTCTGGCATACATTTACAGTTTCCTTTTATACCAAAAATAAAAAAAGTTGAATTTGCGCATACGCAATCTATTTTTAATATTTGCGCTCAATTTAGTTTTATAAGTACCACCTTCTGTAAAAAAAATTTCAATTCGTTTTATGAAAAATATCGCCAGTTAAAATTTCGAAAAAC